GTTGTCATTGTTGTTATTATTATTATTATTATTATTATTATTATCATCATCATTGTTATTATTATCATCATTCTTGTCCCCTTGCTGCCTTGTTCCTGTCACTTTTCTCGCTAACTTCTCCTCGTCAACCCTACCCCAATAACCAATTTTTCCAGTTATTTTCCTTGTTTTTCCTTGTTTCCTTCTTCTAATTTGTCACCTTGTCACCTGCACCAACCTCATACATCAAATAATTCCTTGTCCCCAACGCTTGCGCACGTCCTATTCCATTTCTCAATATCCTTACCTTGTAACAAAATAAAATAGCGCATCCGAAATCCACGGTTTCTAGATGAATATGAAGAGTAATACCGCAGAGTCCCTGGGTTTTTAAATATCCATGTAGCAGTTGGCCCTCGTATTGTATTTTCAAGGTACAAAATTTGAGTTCCAGCATAGTCTTGAACCGATACTTGACTTCTCCTAAAAAACAGACAGACCTTGTTTAGCTTGGGCGTAGTGTTTTCCCATTTCAGACCACGTGTCATTCCCTAGAGTATTGTTTTCTTGTTTAAAAAGGTTGGGCATGAGAAGACACATGAATATGATTAGATATAACTCGATTTTTATTCTCTAAGGAATGACATTTGTTCTGAAATGGGAAAACACTACGCCCAAGCTAAGGTAAAGAGGTCTATTGAGGAATTGTCCGTAGAAAGCCTATATTGCTTTTATATTAAAATTTGATAATTTATTAACCAGTTAAACGGGGGGGGGAGGATGGAGGGGGAACTAGCAACTGACTTTGTACAGAGGCTGGCTGATTTACAGAAGTATAAATCAGGGTAAGGATCGTCTTTGACCCTTGGCAACTAGTCACCAAAGAGAGGTTAGTCGTCTCATCGTGCGAGGCTCCTATTTTATTAATGTATTTGTTTTCCCAGAAAAGAAAAATATTTATTCTTTCTGTAAAGAGAGTGGAGATTTCAAAACTAACTTTAAAATGTCCAGTTTACGAAGTCCAATTACAAAATCATGTATATAAATCCAGAATCAAAAAGAATTGCTGTCTCCTTTTCCAAAATTCCTTTTGACTTATTAAACATACTACATTTATTGAAGGGGTTTTTAAAAGACTTCCGATGGTCTTTTAGGGGTATTTTTGAACAAACTTACCCAAAAGTTTTACCCTAAAGTCCCCTCCCCCCCCCTCCTCGGCAAGCATTACCTACCCTCGACGATTTCTTCTCAAGTTAATGTCTTCAAAGTAAAGCACTACAGGCGCCTTTCGTTGGGAAGGTCTGAACGTCCAGGTGTAATCTCCTCGCTGCATGTAATCTGGATACCCAGGGTTGGTGATCAATCCAGTAACCTTTGTGATATTAAGCAGCACGACTAGACGAAACATTACAAACAGAATTTTACACATGAATGACAAAAAAATAGCAAATAAATCATTTAGAAATCATCAGCATTACCATCAATATCATTGATCACTATTGTCATCACCATCATCATCGCCGTCATCATCATTATCAACATCATCACCACCACCATCAATATCATTGATCACTATTATCATCACCATCATCATCGCCGTCATCAACATTATCAACATCATCATCAACATCATCATCATTGATCACTAGTATCATCACCATTAACATCGCCACCACCATCATCATCAGCCCCATTACCATCACCATCATTATCATCATCACCATCACCATCACCCGTAGCATTATATTTTGATTATTGTAAAAGCTTACCTGGAGGATTTCCACACAAAACACTCGCATCTTCTCCGTGTCCACAGTTATGTGACCCCCATCCTCTATGCCGACACTCAAACAAAGACGGTTCATTTCCACTACAGTATACATCATCCATCCAGATTCGACCAGTACCAGGACCAAAAGCTGCAGAAGTCAAAGCACTTACAGCTCTTGGTAGACCCAGTGAACGACAGACCACATTTGCAACTCTGAGATCCCAATTGTCATCACAGACTGTTCCCCATTGATCGTTGTGTAAGATTTCCACGCGACCTTCACCAGGTATCTTTCCACCAGCCAATCTAATTCTCGCTGTGTTTTAATTAAAAATAATGTTTTTCAACCATTTGAAAAAAACAAAAACAGAGAGGCCATCTGGGCGGTATTCTTATTAGACATCATAAACATGGCCAGCATGACAAGACTTAAAAACGAGATTTTTTTCAAACTTCCATTACTTCCAAAGCGTTTATTAAGGCACTCTATTAACACGCGGACACTGAAAGACTCTCTTTAAAGCCTAGTTTATAATACAAACTCACTTATTTTTGTTGTTGTTACTTCTACTGCCATACTTCTGTACATCATGGTTCTCTGGTCAAGTCCTTGAAGATAAGCCAATACTTGAACACGATAGGTAGTAAGACCCTCAAGATTATCACATGCGGCAGAGAATGAGCTGTTGTCAGTAATAGCATATGAGACATTGACCAAACTAGGGTCCGTTGAGTTACAGAGCACTAGGTATCCAGCAATAGGGAAATCACTGACATTGAAGGGCAGCCAGGATACTTTGATGGTTCTTAGATTATAACTGCTTGCGTTGATGGACCAGCCTTCTGAAACTGGAGCTAAATATTACATTATTAGTGGTGTTAGCTACATGAACTGGTTTTATGTTTGGCTCATTGTGCACTCTTCATTTCTCTCCTTTTACTTCAATCCTCTTCCCTTTTCTCTTCTTCTGATAGGAAAGGTGGAAAAGTAAATCTAATATTTTACTTCGATGATGCGGGGAGAGTTTGCCGCAATTCTCTCAAGCTAAGGGTTCATGTATAAAGCGTTCGAAGGTGAGACCTTCACCCCCTCAGGCTTTAAGTGCTACTTATTGCAGATGTTTAAAGCTAAAGCTACAGAGAACAGAGAGAAGTCGAAACACACTTCCCTTCTAAATTACAAAGTAATGTTCCTAGGGATCAAGGGCACGCCGACAATTCATCTATCCAGCTGAGATCACAGGAACAGAATCAAAGCGATTTCTTCCTTCGCTCGAACTTGTAGCACACAAAAACATCATCACCTTTACTTCTTGTGTATTCTTTTCTACCTTCTCTTACGCTACCCGCACATTCTTTCTTACGTACTAAACAACTTTTCTTACCATAATCCAATGATTGGTTGAAGATGAAATAAAACATACGAAAGCCATTTTTCCATAATCCACTCGTGAAAGAAGAAAAGAAGGCGACATGTACTGGAGTATTGGAAGTCACGAAACTGAACCTTTCCTTTCTTTGGTTTGACGAAAATGTGAATGTTTTCTGTGCTGCATCAGTCACTGTCAAATTACTAACACTATTGATTAAAAAAGAATCACTTTTAAAAGTTTTGCGGCACAGAAAAGGAATGGTTGGTCAGATAATGAACTTGGGGTTCTTATGCGATTACTAGTGCTGAGAGGCTTAAGGTTATAGCAAGTGATCCAACGTGAAAACGTAATCCTGTCGCTATATACCTTATAAAATATTATATGAGTTTGCTCCCTCGGCATATCATAATTCAAGATGGTCGCCGTATGAGTAAAACGTACGGTCAACTGATTTCAAATCAATAGACCTCTTCGGCTCTGAGGTAATGTTTTCCCATTTCAGACCACGTGTATCTAGAGTATCATTTCTTTGTTTAAGGTTTGCGCTCGGTTGCACATGAGAAGACACATGAATATGGATACAGCTCAAACAAAGAATCTTATTCTCAAGGGAATGACACGTGGTCTGAAATGGGAAAACATTACCCCAAGCCGAAGAGGTCTATTATCTTGGGAGTAGGATCTTTTGTTAGAAATACGCCCATCCATAGTGAAAATCACTTACAAACAACGAAGTGACAACCAAGAAAATAGCACGATATCTGACATGCGAAAACATTACTACAACCCTCAGTATTCAAAATCACGAACATAATTACCCTTGACGTCTGCTTAGACCAATCCTTTCAAAGTAAATAACTACATGCGCATTTTCTAAGGAAGGTCTTATTGTCCACTCGTAGTTAGCTTGTTTCATGAACAGCGGATATCCAGGACTCGTGATCTCTCCGAATTGGTCAGTAACATTCATCTGCGTGACTGTCAAAAAATAAAAGTTTTCGTGACATTAGGAATTTGTGTTTTTTTACGGGATAAAAATACGTGACAAAGTTAGCAGTTATATACACCTAGTTTTCCAGAAACCATGTACACGTATTAAAACAATTTTTGCGCTCAATATTGTAGTTCTTTACCCTCAGTATTTCTTGCAATATTGCCGAATATGTAGCGTGAAATATTGCAACCCATGGTGCAATGTTTATCTTGCATGAGTGTTCACACACTCTAGTACTTTTTACTCGGGCTTTCAAAGAAATGCCCGAGGTATAAATTGGGCTTTATTTGCGTTCTGTCACAAATCGCAGTTGCGTTCAAAGCGCATGCGCAAGTTCTATGCGCGTGCGTAGTATGCGCCACATGGTCGAGCAATGGCGGAATTTTTCAAGGTTTCGTCAGAAGGATGACAGTGTTCACGAAGAATTCTTTCGTTTTTCTGCTATGAAGCCCGAGTTCACGCAGATATGCGTCTAGTTCCTAATACTGTCAACGATAATGTGGGGTGCGCAACAGCTGGAAAACTGCATGGCGCAGGACAGGATTTTAATTTTGCACAACTGTCACACGAGTGTTTGCAGACTGATTTTTTCTTGAGCAACATGATTAGGGAATAGTTTTTAATTATTTTGCATGTAGTGCGCAATAGCTGCAGACGTAGACACACAGTGCAATAGACCTTTTTCGAATTCCCAATTACCGCTGTGTTCCTTGATCACAGACTCATTTACTTAGGGTAAGTCTCATTTCAGTGTCTAAATATTCACAAATACCAACGGTAAAGTAAAGAATGCACAGCTTCAACAATACAAACACTTTAAAATTCCACGGGCCTTCACTGGAACACAGGAATATTCTGTACAAAGTCGAGGCTAACCCTGAGCAACAGAGAACTCGAAACTGGATCGGAATATTTGCTTTGTCGCTTTAACAGTGGCAAGTAGACTAACCACCTTCCCTGTCCATAATATTTAAAACTTACCATTTGGAGATCCACAGACAACACCAGCGATGCCAAACACTGCGCTACACCAATTGGCAACGTTTCCCCATCCGGAATTAAGACAAGACGACAAACTCTCCTCATATCCTTGGCATCTCACACCCGATAACCAGATTCTACTGGCTCTGTTGCTAAATCGACCCACGTTTTTCAAAGCGTATGTTGCTGGTGGTAGTCCCATTGAACGGCATACAACATTAGCAGCGTTCATGTTCCACCACTGGGGACATATGGTGCCCCAAATGCCATCGTACTGTACTTGGACTAATCCTTCGTTAGGGAATTGACCTCCGTCGATTCGCGAAGGCGCTGTGAAACAAGAAAACAAAGGCTTGAAGGCTTTTTAGATGTTTGTCAAGTAAACTAGAGCAAGCACATTCGAAACGTGCAGATATATTTTAGCCTCACCTCAAGTAAAGATACCAAGCAAAATAATAGATACTTAAAAAGTTGTTTATCTCATATTCCATCTTCGGTTAAGAATTGAAATACGCCAAGTTTTTTAATTCAGGAATGGAATCCGGATTTCTCTTTAATAAACAAGATTGTCTCGTTTTTAGCAAAGTTTCCCTAACACTAGCCTAATTCCGAGAAATGCATGCTTGGCTTTTTACGCATAAAGGATCCAATGTGATGCTTCGTACATGTAATACCCAGTGATTTGTGAAAGGAGAAAAGAATAAACGTAATGTAGCACGTAGTTTTGTACTGAAACCTGTGTGCATGAAAAGCAAATTCTTCATTCTAAAGTGCTCTACACTCACCATCTTTAGTTCTGACAAGCTTAGTACAACTATGAACAGTCCTGTTAACTCGTCCTGAAGAATCAAGAGCAACGATGTTCACTGAATAAAACGTCATGGGATTAACAGGACTGATGGTGGCGAATAGCCTGTCGTTTGCTACTTTGAAACTCCTCTTTTCGCTGTCAGATTGATTGTAGAGGACTAAGTATTCGATGGAAGCATTGTAAAGATTATTAAATGGTGTCCATGTTACGTTGATGGTGTTAATACCCGTCTCAACATTGAAATTCCATTCGCTGTTACAAGAATCTGAAATAAAATATCGTAGTTAAAGGAAATTTGCCATCTAATGATTTCTTATTAGCTTCCATTGCAATCTCGTACCCAGAGCCTGCGTTTCTTCTGGCCTGCGGCGAAGAAAGATGGCTCCGGCATAATCCATTTTTTTGAGACCAGGATTTCATGGACTTCCGGTATAAGAGCGTATACATTAAAAGACTTGCCAAAAATAAAAAATATGTTCCGGAAGTAAACACAGAATTCTGTTTGAAAGCGGGCTCTGGGTACGAGATTGCATCCATTGTTAACAGCACCACAATAGTCGCCATGTTTTTGTCTTTCAACTCTCTTGGTAATTCTTGCAACCCATCAATAGGCACAATGCCGTTTGAGCTATTTTCTTTCCGAGAGCCTGCGTTTCTTTGGTCTCTTTTTTATGCGGTTTGTCAATTCATAAGTATTCCATAACACTTACCTTGATTTTGTAAAGGATCAATGACAAAGTAGCGCATAAGGAATCCTTTTTTCAGTCCGCCTCGTATTTCTGAGAATGCTGTGAAGTAACGTACGGTGGAGGGATTATCGATGATCCAAACATGAACTCCATTCGTTTTAGAGTTGGAAGCCCGATAATATTGGTAGCCGTTGATATCTTTGACTCGGATTAGGCTTTTGCTTTAAAGAAAAGAACAAAAATGTTAGACTTGTCAGGAGTTGCAATACTTTGTTTCTTCAGTGAAAAATGAACGTAGAAAAATCTAGGAGCGTTCACTCGGGCTTATAGCTGTGTAGCTGTTGGTCATCGTCGTTATCATGAGGTCACAACAAAGTACATGCGCTTTAGACCCCATTTAGGTATTTTAAATGACGGTATACGCATTCCATTTTTTACAACAAAAACCCGCAAAAAAAAAAAAAAAAAAAAAAAATCACTTTTATTTAAGTGTCTAGTCGTTCTAGCGCTTTCGCACTAATTGGGGACACTTTTCACTCACACGCACTACCACTACATTTAATATTCTATGCACACAACGCTCAACTCACATGTTGATTTTTATCGTTGGGGAAAACGTTGGGGAAAACGCCGGTTTCAGGCGCGTGCTGGCTCCGTGAGTTTTTTTCTCGTAATTTATTGGCTCTATATATTTACCACGGTTCGTGGCCAATCAGAAAGCGAGAAAAATTACATTTGAGGTAGAATTGTGAAATTCTCGTGCAGCTACTGTCAAGAGCTGGTGATAGATCATTGTGGGGCGAAAAAAATCGAGAAGAAAAGCATGAAAATACTTATTGTTTTGCAATATTCATTCCAATTTTTCATTACCCATCACTTTGACGTCTTAAGTCAATCTCTTCAAAGTAAAGAGCCAACTGTGAATTGGGGAATGGCGGCTTGAATGTCCACACGTAGTCGGCGCGCTGTAGGAAACGTGGATACCCGGGACTTGTAATTGTTCCAGTTAAACCTGTGATGTCTATCTTGATTGCTGGTCAGTCATTAAAAAAACAAATAATAAAATATGATACGCTTTGAAAATGTGAAAAAAGGATGAATGGATGGATGGGATGGGATGGGATGGATGGATGGATGGGATGGAATGGGATGGGATGGGATGGAATGGGATGG